CTTTTTTTTTTTTTTTTTTTTTAATGTGAAAGCCAGATCTATGGCTCTGGGTTCCCCTTACAAATGTTCCCAAATTTGGAAGTGAGTAAAGATGACTGCTCAGACAGAACCCTTCTTGGCTCCGAGACGCGGTGTATTTTGGGTGCTGAAAGTGGTCGCAGCTCAGGGGTGTATTTGTCTCCAGCTGCAGAGGAGGTGGTTACTTTTAAAGAGCCCCCACTGGGGTGGTCAGACCTCAGGACTCCCTGATATTTCTTCAGCACTGTTGCTCATTTTACCTTTCCAGCTCCTTGTAAGACTTGACATTTCCATGACATTTGCAGCATTGAAGCCCACATGAGAAATCATTTTGGCTGGCTCTTTATAAACAGATATTTTTGCTCACTTTTTAAAATTATGAAAAGACCTTAGCATCAGCTGTCGTGCAAAAAGGCATAAGAACAGTCGACATACAGGAAATCCCGTAATAAAGAGGTAGAAACAAACCAAACACCAAGTAGGCTCGCTGCCCGATGGGCGTCAGTCTCTAATTTTAGTTGAGTTTCCACAGAGCCTGTGTGTCAGGTTCAAGCAAGCCTTAGCTGCTTTGGTGTCCAGCCACGCCTGCCTCCCCCACGCGCCCACGTCTCCACGCGAGCGCTGCCCACTGTGTCACTGCCCTCGCATTCCTTCTCCTCTCTCCTACCCCATCCATCTCCAGGGATGGCCTCAGCCCGGACCTCAGTCTGAGCTCTGCTTCTTTCTTGGCCTTGAGCCTAGTCGGGGATCTTCTCCCCTAAATAGCGCTATCAGCTTCTTAATTCTCTTCCTGACTTATGACTGTCTGTGCATGCAGGAGGGACGGAATGAGATATGGCAGAGTGGGAACAGGCCAGGCTTGTTCATAGATGTTTATTTAAAAACGAGGGTGAGAGAAAGGCATACATCATCTCCCTCCTGCGCTGTGGTGAATCCAGGACCACTGTTTCTGTGGGACTGCGCTCGATTCCTCACTGACGGTGAAAAACTCAATCAGGGCTCCTTCTGTCTAAGACTCAGATTCAGAAAGATGGCGCGTCAGAGTCAGAATGGAGAGAATACTGAGCTGGACTCTATCCTGGACTGAATCTGAGGTCTCCCTGAGTTAGCTGTGTGACCGCTCCGGTTTCCTGCCCCACAGAAGCACCAGACCAGTTCTGCCAACCACCCTGTGCTGAGCAGAGGCAGGGAATGGGCACTGTCGGTCATTATCTATCTAACGCCAGACCTGCTGAAGTAGACCAGAGGTGAACTCAGAAGAAGGAAAAAGAGTAGCTAAGATGTAATCATCTCAGAGGCAGCACTTATCAAAGACTAATGACCAAGGAAGTTTCCCGTAATGTCATAGTTACTCAGCCAGACTGGAGAATGTTTTCTTTCTTTCGCTATAGGATCTAGACGGCTGAGACTGTGAGAAAGAAATTATTTGGGAAAGGGTGATTATCCTTGTGTCTTCGTCACTTTCCTCATGGCTGGGACAAAATACCTGATACCCACAATTAGAGGAGGAGAAGTTACTTTGGGTTCACAGTTTCAGAAGTTTTGGTCCGTGATGGGTGGGTTCAGTGCAGAAACAACATGGCGGAAAGGGCTGCATGGAAGAAAACTGCTCGTGTCATGGAGGCTGGGAAGAGAGAGTGAAGGGCAGAGCTAGGGAGGGAGAAATAGTACACCCTAACTTCCGGTCAGTGACCTGCCTCCCTGGCCCAGCCCCACCTCCTGACAGTAAGCCAGCTGTGAGCTCATCAGGGAACCAAAGCGTGTAGCACCCAGGTGACCCAGCCACTCTCCCAACACAGAAGGCTTTTGGGGGACCTGCCCCAGATCCAAACTGTAACAACTTGAGCTCAAGAAATGACACAACCAAAATGAGTATGAACAAGACTGAGTGCTCTGGGAAGGAGAGTCAGTGTTGTGAAAGTGGAGCATCCCGGTGGCTTCATTGTTGGTTTGGGTGAAGCTCAGATGCACCTTCATGAAGCCTACAGCAAGGTATTTCATTAGCCAGCACAGTATGTGACACAGAGACCTCAGTTAAGTGACAATGGGGAGTTGGGGAAGAGAAAGGAGAGATCAGAAAAAAAGGCAGCAGAGGAGATAGATGTGAGCTGTGAGCTTTATGAACTGTATATCAAGGCATAGCGTTTCTCTGATTGAACCCTTTAGGGGCTTCCCTTCACACTTAAATAAAACCCGAACTCCTTGCGCCAGTGTATGAGGCCCTGTGTGACCTTGCCACTCCCGTTCTGACTTACTTTTTTATGCCACGTCCCCACGTGTGTTTTGCTTCAGTCACAGTGAGCCTTTTCCTCCCTAATGTGAGGTTTCTCTTTCTCGTGGGGTCTCTCCTGTGCACAGTGAGATGTAGGGTTGTAGAACTGTAGTATTGGGAGCCACTGCCAAGTCCATTTTTCTCTAGGGATTTAGCAGCTTCCTTGATGGCCTTCTTTGGTTGGTCCATCTTGTCACTCAGAGCTCATCCTTAACCATCACACTTAGAAAGGCCTTTGTAGTGCACAGTGTACAACAGCCACCCAGTCACTCTTAGCTTTTTAAAAAAGTAGCTACCTGGGACTCTCCCGTGGTCTGTATATGTGTATACATTCATGCACTCATGCACATGTCACATGTGTTTCCCAGCAGAACATCCACTGCATGAGAGCAAAAAAATAGCCTACTTTTGAATTGCTCTACATCCATGCCGAGAATAATATACCCAGCTCTAGAAAACCCCACTGAGTGAGCACAGGGATGGACCTTGCTATTGCAGTGTCTGGATTGCTGGAAGTGTCTGGTGATGTCTGACTCAGTTAGTGCAAAGAGGGACGGACATGCTGGGCAGAGCCGTGTTCTGCTCCTCACTGAGGCCTAGACGCTAAGATACTGGAACACTTCTGTTTTTTGAGGCAATGCGTGGAAGCCACATCAAGGATAGTGAAGGGAAAAAAAGCGAAGCTTTCAGAAATCAACAAGTTGAAGTTAAAGCTGAGGAGGAAAGTGGAGATCAAATTATTTTCATGCTACTTGCCCAAGGACAAGCGTGGTCCTGGTACCTCCCTCCCTTAGTTTCTGAACAGCAGCCCACTCTGCCACACCACCCCCACATTTCATGGGACTCCCATCTTCACAAAGCCATTTCCGGGGATGGTGAAGACCATGGGTCCATCTTGCTGTGGGGGCATCAGAGTTCTAAGATTCTTAAAAGGGACTGCAGAAAGGGCAAGGCCTCCCAGAGCTCCAGATTTCTCAGACCCAGAATGAAGATCGTAGTGGGACTAAAATCTTCCTAAATTGTCCACACTGTCATCAGCACTCCAGGCATAGCTAAGTGGCCCACAAAAGGTGCATTTTACACTAATATATCTGTGCTAATAATTTAATACGTAAGCAAGCAAGGGTGCTGGGCAGGGGAATTCTCCCAGATAAAAGAGGGATTCTGTCAGAGAGACAGACCTAGCTCCAGTGCCTGCCAGCACACAATACTTGTTTTAGTTTTTATTAACCCTTTTGTGACTATTTCAAGACAACTTGTTTATACTCAGAATATTTTAAAGACCTCTGCATTTGCTGTTTTCGTATAATGGTGCCACAGTGAGAGACTAATGGCCTCCCAGTTGTGTACAACTGTACAGAGGGCTTGGAAAGTTAAAAATCTTCCTTTAGTCAACGTTTGCCACGTGTGAAGTAGCACATATTGCGAGACTAGTACTTGCACTGAGATCATTTGTGTTTGGATCATGGTGATCTGGGAGTCACAACATCCTTAAGTCAAGTTTCAGATATTCTAGTCAACATGTTAAAAAAGGAAAAGAAGAAAACTCAAGAGACTGGCCTCTTATCTAGCATGGATAGGAGTGAAATCAGAACCTCACAGGACTCGCCCTTCCCACCCGGGAACCCACAGGAAACGCAGAGGACATCGTTGCCTTTGGTTCCAGCACAGGCCCAGGACTTTGGCACGTCCCCGTACAGATCCAGTTTGCTGCACAAGAAAACAGGTCAGTTCCCTAAATTTCAAGGAGTTTTCATTGTCTATCATGGATTTTAGCAGAGCACCCTAGAGTTCTAAGTGTGCAAAGACGATATGTTACTTTACATTAAATACCCATTTCTCAAATGAATGACTGTACTGGATAGGGCCACATATGAATTTTCACAGATGGAGCTAGATGGGTCCAGAAAATAAAGTAGAAATTTTTACTCCAGAAAGAGCAGTGAAAACCCTTCCTCTGATAGAAGGAAAATGGTAAAGTTAGATGTTGAATTACTGACTCGATGCTATGTTTGTCTCTAAATCCAAATGAGTTATCTGCGGCAAAAGAATTGAAAAACATTGTCACAACCTTAAAGGTGATAAATCAATGAGACCCTGCCAGGTCATAGGGTTCGACAGAGTCAGGCCTGCAGCACCACTGCTTGGGAGCCCACTAAGAGCCTGGGGGGCTTGTTTACCTTGCTGCTTATCAGACCCTTGTGGCGCGAGGTGCAGGCCCTGAATGCGGCCTGGCCCTTGACACCGGGGAATCAGAAGTATGGGCTGTAGCAGAACAAAGGGGTGAAGAGCTGCCCCACTGGCAACATACACTGGCGTTTTCCATGTAAATATTTGTTGGGATGGGCTACGTGACACGCTGGCTTCCCAAAAGAATCTTTAAAGAGCACAGTACTCATTAAGAAGCACACTTTTTAGTTGGCAAAGACAACGTTGAAAAGCAAGGGGATATATTTTATGACATGTATCCCTGCCTTCCCCAATGCAGCAGAATACATTTAAAATCTCCACAAAGCAAAAGTGCTGTGCTTACCATTTATCATGGTGGCAGCAGACAGTAAAAATCACTGCTTCCTCCTCCTGAGTGTAGCTTTGCTCTGGATAGCAGCTGGTTGGGGGAACAAAAGGAGGGCTTTCTGGGTCGGTGAATTCTTTAGTTTAGCCATCCACTTATTCACTCACCTTTCACTTAACATATATTTTCTGAGCACATGATTTATTCTAGGCACAATGCTAATTATTGTTATGACACATGGCTCGCATAACTGTTATATACACCAGGTACTGTGTATGCTAAGTTCTCTGCTTGAATTTAGTCACTTAAATCTCATCCTTTGAGATAAGTTTCTGTTTTATCTTTATACTGAAGATGATAACATACATAGGTAAACACAATCTCTGACCTCAGAGTATACTTAGAGACTTACAGAGGAAAAAGAGTCACTGGACAATTGATCGCAAAATTATTATTCCTCTTTATTACTGAGGGAGCATGTACCAGGAGCCCCATCTCTAATTAAGACCAGAAAGAACCACAGTGGGGAGTGAAGGGACAGGTGTGAGCGGAAGGAATATTGTCAGTGCCCGGAATCCAGAGCTTTCCGAGCTCAGGAGGCCTTGGTGGTGGAAAGAAGCATTCCAGGAAGTGAAAGGCGAGGCGTGGCTGGCATCTGGGAAGACAGGTTGGCTGACATGTGCAGCCCAGCTAGCAGGCCAGGGCAGCAGTCCGGGTCAAGGATGGGGATGATGTGGAAGTTGAGTGGACAGTGCTTGGTGACTCATCGGAGATGAGGGTGAGGTAGGGTGAGGACGGTGAGGCTCTTCACAGAAGTAAGGAGCAGCAGGTGGCTCCCATGGGCCTGCAACGCTGTTGGCCACCGAGAATGCCACTGTTGGATCTTGGAGAGCAGCACCCCACGGTACTGCACTCTGGTGCGCCAAGTACACTGAACACAAAGATGTTGGAGAGGCATCAGGCAGACTCTCTCCAGCCTTCTCCTGCTCCTCTTTCCCCTAGGCCCCTTTCTTCCACAAGTCAGGCCATAGAAACTGAACCCCTCTCTCCCGTAGCCAGCCATAGAACCCAGAAATTCCTCTACCCTGCCCACCTTCCTGAGGCAGGCTCATAAAGAATTCTCGGACCCACCTTGTCTGATCATGGTCACGAGCTCCTCATTCCGAGAGTCCTTCCCCACCCCTGGGTGGAAAGAAAGCCACACAGAGATGCAGGAAGAATCTGAACAAGGTGACCTTGCTGGGCTCTCCGACTCCAGCCTCTTACATCAAAGCCACCTCTTTGCCCAGTCTGATTTCTACATGGCTGTCTTCCACCCTGAGCAGAAAAACACAGCTGTCCCTTGAAACTTCTCATGTCACAGAAAGCTTTGACTAAATAAAACTGCTGTGCTTTTTTGTTAGTCTGCCTTTGTTCCAAGGTGTCAGTCATGATGCTATGACAGGTGAGGAAAGGTATTGAGCTTTTCTGCCCCTGCACTGCTGAAATCAGGGTCACAGCACCCATGTGAGATCCCCATGGCAGGTGACAGGAGGAAGGAGCTGCTTCCTGCCCTTCACCAAGGACACACATTTCTGTGCCTGTGCAGAAATGGCCTCCAAGGTCACCACCCACCTTGCCTGGTGCCACATCTTTTCTTTTCTGTTCCTCCTGACCCACACACTCTCCCTTCTCATAATTCTTCCCTGCAGCATTTCATCATATCTCTCTTCCCTTACAATTACAGTCAACTCTTTCAGTAACTCTTTTCCTCCCTTGCTATTGCTGTCAAGACAGATGATGCTTTGGTTTGGACAGTGAATGAAGTTCACTTGAACAAAAAAAAATTGCTGAAAAATAGTGGAAATTGTTTGTAAAGTCCAAGTACAAATGAGGTAAAAGTTTTGGAGAAGAGCCTTCTACTTTAAAGGATTTTTGAGTTGTTTTAACTGTCATTGGATAGAGTTCTAGCAATAGAGCAGAAGTAGGTTCACAAATGGAATGATAATGATCTAAACATTTGGGGGTGGGATTGATGGGGATCGACTTTATTTCTTGGCAAAAACTACAAATAAGAGGAAATTTGTTGTGGATAATTACTGTGGCTGCTGAGTAACAGGTAATGGGATGGTTGATTACAATGTTTAAGATTCCAGGAGTTGATTAAACTTTTACTGTTGCAATGTTTTATATAGGAGAAGCTTATGTAAACTAAAGCAAGTACCCGAAAATTAATAAGCCTGTTGTTTTGGAGGTTTTCCTGTATCGTGTAGGTGTTGCCCAGTTTCCATTAACTGTCCCTGGGTCTGTTTCTAATGAAGAAAGCAAGTAAATCCAACCATCTCTGAAACTGTCATGAAGCTGTCTCCCCTTCCTTCCCCAACCCTCCCCTCTCCTGTTCACCTCCGCTTTGTGCTGAAAACGAGCCCCTTTGGATTAGAAAATGAAGCTGAGTTTATGGTTCACTAGAGAGCCCTGCAGAGTAGCCTTGTAAGCAGCCTGGCAAGGCCAGGAAGGTCAGGGGCTTGGGAATTTTTATCGTTGTTTTGGAGGTCAAATGTCTGTTTTGGTTTCTTTGAAATAATGAGAGGGATTGTTCAGCTCCACAGTTGGAAAAGAGTCATATTTTTCTCTTTGAAATAAAGAGAAGTTTTAAGGTTGAGTGGTTTGGGATTTCTCTCGTTTTCTTTTTTCCATCTCAGCTCTCTGGCTGCCCATTCCAAATAGTCACCTGGAACCAGTCAGTATTCCAGAGCCCCCTGACTCACCACATCCTGTGACTATTTGAGGTGCTAACAGAACCTGCTCATCACAGGTGCCATCACTGGCACTTCAAAAGGTGGAAGGAAGCACCTCAGTGGCAGGGCCCTTCCTAGCATACCAGAGCCCATGGGTTCTGCCCCCTGCACTGTAAAAAGAGAAACAAGTGAGGTAAGAGCCGAAACACATCCCAGAAGCACCAGACCCTTTTTGCTCCGTGAGAGTTCGTTGAATCCTTGCTCTGGTCCAAGGTATATATTGCAAACTGGGACAAACGTGAATTGAGAAATGGGCTCTGGCTCCTTACGTTTCAGTAATGGAGACTGGCTTGGTACCCAAAGAGCAGAGAATAAAATAACAAGCGTTTAATGCAGAAGCTGGGAACAAACGTGCAAATCAAAGGGGTCATCCGATGGAGAGGAGTGTGACAGAGCAGGTGACATGCAGATGAGGTCTCAGAGGACTGGCCGAATGTGGAGATTCAGGGAATCTGGGCATAGGGAAGAATATTCCAGGCTTAAAAAACTAATGTGTTTGTGTCTCCTTTCAAGAAATGTCTGTTTACATCATTTTTAATCAGATCATTTGTTTTCTTTCTATACAATTGTTTGAGTTGTTTATATATTTTAGATATTAATCCCATTTTAGGAATATTGTTTGCAAATATTTTCTCACAGTCCATAGATTGTTGCTTCACTCTAATATCTCCTGTGCTGTGCAACAGCTTTTTATTGGGGTGTAATCTCATTTGTCTATTTTTAAGTTTTGTTATCTCTACTTTGGGGATCAAGTTTTTTTAAAAAAATTATTGCCCAGACTAATGTCAGGTGGTCTTCCCTTGTTTTCTCCTAGTAGTTTTATAGTTTTAGGTCTTATATTTAGGTCTTTAACCCATTTTGAATTGATTAGTTTATGCAGTGTAAGGTAAAGGTCCAGTTTCCATATATATTTAGATATATAAGTTCCCAATTTACAAATAAGTTCATTCTGGGAGAATTGTTCATAACTCAGATTCATTCATAGACCAACAAAGTGAATCTTACATGGTACACCTGTGAAAGTTCTTGACATCTTTGTCAAAACTCAGTTAATAGTACACATGTGCGTTCACTTCCCTATTCTGTTTCATTTGTGGATGAGTATATTTTATGCCAGAACCATGCTGTTTTACTTACTATGGCTTTGTACTATAGTTTGAAGTTAGGTAGTCTGATGCCTCTAGCTTTGTTCTTTAGGGTTCATGACTGCTTTGACTAGTTAAGATTTCTTATGATCTCATAGAATTTTTTAATTTTTTTCTGTTTCTTTGAAAATGGCATTGGAATTTTGATAGGGGTTAAATTGAATCTATAGATGGACATTTAAGAATATAAATTCTTCCAATCCATCAGCAAGCATATTAAAATACTCACCATCACCAATCATTAGGGAAATACAAATTGAAACCACAGTAACATATTACTTCATATCTG